CAGATTTCCCAAAACTAATCTATGGGTTTAATGTGATTTCAAACAAAATCTCACTAGGCTTGTTGAGAGCTGAAATGCACAGGCTCATCATTTTAGAAGTCATATAGAACAGTGAGTCAGGAACAGCCAAAAGGCATAATGAAAATCATATGACAAAAGGGGAAAGAAAGCAAAAACTTGCCCAGTGGTGAGAGCACATGATTGTAATCCACTTTGGAGACTGAGGCAGGAGGATCACCAGTTTTTGAGGAAAACCTGGCTTACACAGTGAGACTTTGCTTTCCAAAACTTAAAAACAAAACAAAACAAAACAAAAAAACGGGTGGGGATGTGAAATGTGGTGGTGCCAGCATTCAGGAAGCAAGACACCACCTCTATGAGTCTGAGCCAGACTGGTCTATATAGTGAGTTCCAGGCCAACCAGGGCTACACAGTAAGGCCTGTCTCAATAAAAGACAATGGCACTTTGATTTACAACAAAGACAATATATTTTATTGGGGGAAAGGATGATGCCAGGCCAACCAGATATCCATATGGGGGGAAATGGTAGATAAATTACACAAGGTCAAATAAAGCTTTTTGAGAAAACATCTTTTTGAGTATTTCGAGCACTAACCATAAAAGAAGAAAAGAGTAAGTGTATTTTAATGATTTTAGGAGATTGTGTTCTTTGAAATAAACTGTTAAGAATGCAGAAGCTGTTACTGAGATGGCTCAGGGGCAAAGGTCCTCACGGAGTTTGATTCCAAGGGGCTACACAGTGGAAGTGTGCAGTTGACATTTGCAAATTGTCTTTTCACCTCCATGTGTACATGTACACACACAGAAATGTAATACAAATTTATTGTTACAAATGTGCAGAAGCCACATACGTACACCCTAAGGGGTGCAGGGTAGATAGACAAATAAGGACCTGTAGCCTATGTATGCAGTTTCTTTAATAGTAAGAGGGAACCAATGGAAAGACTCACAGTGGTCATTAAACACGTCAGGAAACAACTTAAGTTCTAGACCAGAGATAATGAAATGCCAATCACACCGAGATATTAATATACATCTGAAAGAGTTATGTAAGAGTCTCTAAAGCTCTTTCAAGCTCCAAGAACCCACCTACCCTGATTTTCATCAGGTTGAGAATCTCATTTGCTATTCTTAATGACTCTCATCTCTGTATTTCTCTTGTGCTAAAGCTGAAGGAGCTAATGGAGAAAGACCCAAATGCTTGGTATGGTGGGTGGAAAGAAAATGGCATCCATAGGCCCAAAAGAAGTGGCATTATTATGGGGTGTAGCCCTGGAGAAGGTGTGGCTTTGTTGGAGATGGTGAGCTACTAGTGAGTGGGCTTCAATGTCTCAGAAGCTCAAGCCTCTTCACTTCCTGCTGCCTAAGGCTCAAGATGCAGAACTCTTAGCTCCTTTTCCAGCACCACGCACGTCTGCCTGAGCATCACCATGCTTCCCGCCATGAGAATCATGGACTAAAGTAAACCTCTGAAACTGTAGGCCAGCCTCAATTAAATGTTTCCTCCATAAGAAAAAAAAAAGCGCTGGTTAGGACATGGCACAACAAGACCTCTTACACACTGCTGACAGTTTTGATAATTTCTTGGAATGATGCCTGACAACATCTATGTAAAGCAAATATATATCTTTTCTATAATCCAGTATTTTCACTTTTAAGTATACATCCAACAAAAAAATGCTTAATAAAACTACACACTGAAAGGTTCTCAATAAATTAATTTCAAAGCAGAAACTACCTAATGTATGCCGTCAGAAGACCTGATTAAAAAGAGCCATACAGTCACATGAAAAATACTGTACCAAAATAAAATGCACAGGTAAGCATATAACTGAATCTCCAAAGCCAGAAGGAAAAAAAGAAAGAAAAAGGAAAAGAAGACAGACACAGTAAGAGCATGTAAATGAAACTTCACAGTGTGTAAACAGTAAGAGAGGATGGAACTAATCTAGATTACTTATTACAGTTCTGAAGATTGGTTTTTCCTTGGGTGTGGGGACTAGTAACTGAAGAACAGCAGGAAGGAGGCGTTCATGTTAGTGCTGTCCCATTTATTATTTGAACATCCATCAATGTGTATACTCTCAGTCCGTGGACATTTCTTAAGTACACTATCTTGAGTATGTGACAATGATCAAACGTTAAGCAGAAGGCAGGAAAAGTATGTCTACAGATATGATAATGGCAAAGTAACAGATGAATAATTCATGCAGGGGCAGCAGAGGTGTTAAGAGCACTGATTGCTCTTACAGAGGTCTGAGGTTCAATTACCAACACCCACATGTTGGCTCACAACCGTCTGTAACTCTCATTGTAGGGAATCCCATACCCTCTTCTAGTGTCCAAGAGCTCTAAGCACACATGTAATGTATAGACACACATGCAAAGTATGCAAAAGACATACACAGGCAATATTTCCCCACACAAAGAAATGTGCTTCGGAATAAAACAAAACAAACAAACAAACAAAAAAGAATTCATGGAAATCAACTTTTAAAAGGCTAGGCTGAAGGTGTAGCCAAGCATGCAAAAGTCCTGGGTTCAATCCCTACCACCAAATCATAAATAAATAAATGTATCTTAAATGGCTAATAAATCTATAAATGTAAATTTAATCACCATAATGTTATTATCGTGAGGCACGATGGGATACACCTCTATTCCCAGATACTCAGGAGGCTAGGATGGGGGAGTCAGTTCAAGACCAGCTTGGATCACATACAAAGATCCTTTTTGTCTCAAGCAAACAAACAAAAACCAAAAAAGAAATAAGGAGGGAGACCAGATTAATGACAAATTTAAATTCAAGTAAAAGTATGGTCAAAAACTTTGTGGTATATCTTTCATGTTAAAAAAAAAAATCACACAAACAGTTATACATTTGAACAGAAAAACTTCCAAGAACATTTTTTGTTTTATTTTTTATAACAAGATATATCGTGTTAGATATGCTTTTGATACAAGGTCTCTCATACCTCCCGTTAGTCTCCAACTCACTAAGCAGCTGATAACTCTGACGTTCTTGTGAGCCTCCCATCACCTTTTGAGTGCTGGAGTCACAACATTGGTATACCACCCTGTCAGGTTCATCTGGTGCTGGCTACTGAACCATGGAACTTGTGCATGAAAGGCAAGCACTCTACCAACGGAGCTACATTCCCAGCCCAATAAAAACCAAAACACCAAAAAGACATTTATTATGTCCATAAATCAAAGAAAGATGGTTAAAAAAAATTCAGTCATCTATTTTGTCTCCCCTTTATCTCCCACACTTAATCTGTAGCCCTTCCCTCAATTTCTTATTAGACATGACAGTCCAAGTTATTCATTTATTTTTCTGATTTCCAAAACGTATGCCTTTGTCCTCTCTATTGAACTCATACCTAGACCCTTCATTATTGCAAAATAATCATATTTCCCACTTGAATGTAATAGGTACATCATGTCATTTTACATGGTAATCCTCCCTACTCCAGCCTCTAAAACTGCTCATTAAGTACTGTCACCCGACCCCAATCCTTGGCATACACAAAATCCTTTTCCTGTTGTACATTCTCTCTCATCCATCTTTCTAATTTCATTGATAGTTGAAGATCTATTTAGAGCATCATTTTCTGGGTGTAGTTTCTAAAGTGCTAAGAACAGACAATGGTTTCCAAATTAACCTTCCATTGACTGTACATATCTCAACGCTGTACATTCTGTACCGTATCTCACTCTCCCATTGTACAGCATGGGGAATTTCTTTTCTTTTTCTTGTCTTAATTTCCTAAAATCTAGTTGGCTTGAGGGAAAGTAAGGCATCCATATTCAATACATACATAAACACCTGTCTGATGGGAAAAAATGGAATTAAAAACACTAGACTATTTATTTTTTAAATTCAAGATGGCAGAGACATCTTAAAATAGTCCTACACAAAAGCATTCCCATCCAGACCAGAGCTTCCATTCATAACTGGCTACACCTAGCGCAACAGCAAGGACAAAAGAATGGAACCTAGGTGCTGAGACTCCAGACCCCTCTCCATTGACCACAGGTCTCACACTCGAGAGACCTTAAACCCAGATAGAAAACTGGCACCTGCTGCCTGCATTCCAAAGGCCACGCCTTGATGATGATTATGATGATGATGACCCGAGACACTTCTGGATAACATAACCGCAAAAATCAAGGATAAAAGGGAGGAGGCTAAGGAGTATAGAGTGTAACCAGCACGTTTCGGCCCCGCCCCAGCGAGGTGCAGTCCGGGGCGGTGCAGCCTTGGGGTAAGGATTGAACAGTGCTCTCGCCCAGGGCCGGTCAACTGTGCCAGGTCTGGGAATGCTGGGCGAGCTTGGAGCAGAAGCCAGCCATACCAGGACCCCGTTGGCTATACCTGTCAGTCGTCTGCAGCCAGTAGGCCCCGAAATAGCGGAGACTGGGTGACCCAGGCCCGCAGGCGCGCGTCACCCGATCGCTTCCCTCTGAATCGCTTTGCCTCCTCGCTTTTCCCTTAGCTCTTCTGGAACAAAGACGGTCCACGCTGCCCGCCATTTTCTCCTCACCTCAAAAACCACCTCTTCGTCAAACTCCGGTGTCATCCTTCTCCGCCATACCACCCGCCTCAGCACGATGGGAAATGAAGGCAGGAGGGCAGTCAGCACCCAGCTTCAGCTCCTGCCCACCTCAGGGGGCACTGAAAACTACAACTACCGGCATGCCTCGCGACTCACGCCCCCTTCCCATCTGCTCATTGGAGCAGAGGGTGAGCGTGTAGGCTGAAGGGGCGGGAGCAGGCGGACGTTCCCGAGCTCCTATTGGAGAGAGCTACGGCTTTTGTCTGCCTTTTACATCCCCGGACTACCAGGGGGCGCCCGGAGCGCGGATTTTTCTTCGTGGTTGAGGAGGGGCGCGCGTCCGCGACGCCGCGGGGAGCTCCTGCCGTGCGCGCGCCTGGCGGCCGTCCCGGAGCGCGGCTGAGCGGCGCTCGTGCACGTCCTCCCGTCGCCTGCAGCGAGCGCTCGGGAGAGCCGGACGGTCGCGGGAGCCGGCGTCCGTCCTTTGTGAGGCGCTCAGGCTGTCGGGCCGAAATGTGGCCGCGGCGGGGACTTGCGTCTCCTGCTCAGCCTCTGGGGCGCGTGGACTGACCTGACCGGGAGCCATGGACTGAGGACGTGAGCTGCGCGGGGCAGTCATGACTTCTGCCGCGGGTGAGTGGTCGCCCGCGCCGGGCTGGGAAGTTGCTCCCCGGGTGGCCGGCGAGGGGCCGGTCGCTCGCGCCTGCGATGGGAGCCCCCGGGACGCCCCGTCGCAGCCCGCCGTCGAGCGGCGCCGCGGACCTGGCTCGGGCGGAGCGGCTCCGGCGCTGTCGCCTGCGCGCGGGGTGCGGAGCGTCGGTCCGGCGCCGAGGACTCCCAGAGTCCCAGCCGGGACGGCTTTCCGGCGAGGGGACCCCTCCTCTAGCCCGAGTCGCCCTGAAACCTAGAATTTACCGACTGAAACTCTTCGCACCGGAGAGGAGGCTTAAACAGAGCCGTTCTCACCCTGGTGTTTCATTACCTGAGTGTGCGCCGCAGAGCAGAACAAGCAGCACCCCTCCCAAGTGAAACACAGCCCCCCCTTTTGTTTGTTTTTTGTTGGGGTTTGGTTTTTTTGCTCATCTTCGTCTTTTTCTCCCCGCCCTCCCTGCTCTTACCTGGATAGCATAAACAAAGTCTCACTTTCTGTCTGCCCCCTTTCCAATCAGCCTAATGACAAAGCCTTTGCCTACCTTTGTGTGTATTTAAGCATTTCTGGTCGTTGTATTGCGAAACATCCTTAAGGAGCAGTTTTTATTTTTCCCAAACGGAAGTGTTCAAGTGATGTTAGTTACAGTCTCTTTATAAGAACATAACTTATTTTTACAAGCAGAATTTAATAAGGTATGAAATATTTTTTAAAACATCTTTATCCACATTTGCAGAACCTTTGATGAGAGATTTTGTAGTAAAAGAGTTTAAAGCTAAACCTCAGCTACGTCTAGAATAAGCACAAGTATGAGATTAAATTCTCTTTGCTTTCTTTGGCATTTGTTTAAAATTCCTGCAACTTGAAACTGTCAAAGAGCGCACACACGAAATGTTCTGATTTATATTTCTAAAGCCTTGGAGGAGTCACACTGCTAGGCGTAATCAGATTACATGAAACAAGCAAGAAATTAGTAGCAATAAGAAAGCAAGAGGCTGATGGAGACCCTTTTCTCTTTGATGTTATGTATATTCGTTCACGTGATCATCGTGTGCTGTCAGAACTACAAACGTTTCTCTTAATTTTGGGATGCATTCCATTTACCCAACGGATTGTTTTCAGCCCAAATTTCTGTGCCTCACCATTATTCAACTTTTAAAAATTACTAAATATAATTAATTTTAAATAAAAATCAAAAAATTAATTAAAATTTCTAGGATTCACTCTGGAAGTTTATGATTGTTTCATTCTAGAACAGGGCTAGCTATTTTTATACTTATCAACTTTACAATTAAGGAAATCCACAGCATTTTTGTGGTATTTAGAAGAGACACTTCCTGTGTCTGAGTTAGTTTTTTTTTTTTTTTTTTTTTTAACCATGGCTTGCTGAGAAAAATTAACCACTTTTTTGCCCACCAATCCAATAAGATTTATTTTAATTTTTTTCATATGTCTAGGGGATATGGAAAAGGACTGAGGTTTTTCTTTCCACCCCATTTTGATAAATTTATATATACATCGTCCTCTCAAGCCATGTGGGTGGGGTCATAACAATGACATTTATTAAAGCTTTGGAGAAAGTTACTCATGGAACAGAATACCATTCCAGTGTATTTGGGAAGGTTGACCTAATTAAGATTAGGGCGATGTTGTACAAGATTTAAGAAGAAGAGCTTGCTTTGTTTTTGTTTGTTTGTTTCTGCATCTGTTGAAGAGTGGGCAAATAAAGAGATTTTGGAAGTATCTTAGGTAGTACATAAAAAAGAAAGATAATTAAAAGTCTGTTTATCTATCATATTGTGTATTTACATTTCACTCTTTCATTAATGCCTGTGCTCTGTTGCTTTGGGGCTGGTGGGATAGCCAAGAGAATGAGTGTATGAATGATCCAAGGCCACCTGTGTGTAACAGATGACGTATCTGTTTATAACAGTAAAATGGTCCTGATTCTTCACTTTTCTACCTTAGATTTCCCCTGGAGCCAAACAGCTGTGTAAATAAAAGATTTGCTGCATTGCTCTAAAGAAGCATTTGGGTCTGATTGTTAATACAGTGTCAGGAGCCAGAGGTGCAGGATTCATTTCCAAACATTGTGTACTGGTTTCAAGGTTTGACATTGGAATAGATCATAATGTAATGCCTTAGTATTGTTTTGAGACATGCTTCTTTTAAACTAGAGCCATTAAAAATAATGAGCAGTGAGATGGCTCAGTGGGTTAGGCTCTTGCTGATGGTGGTTAGCCTGATGACCTGAGTTTGGTCACTGGGACTCACACAATGAATGGATGTGTTATCTAACATGTGTATGATATGGAATACCCACGTACCCCTCACACAAATAATAGATAATTTAAAAATATCTATGGAGCTGATATGGTATTGCACCCCTGTAATTCCAGCACTAGAGAGGGTGAGCCAGGAAGACTGGAGTTTCAGGGATTTCCAGAGCTGCATTGCAAAGCCTGTGTCCAAAAACTAAAACTAAAGAAATAATAGTGAAGAAATATTTTGTATGTTGCTGTACCAGTGACTTGGCACACACTTGTTCCTATTAGTCATTAAGGAATTGCACAATAATTCTATTGAAGTTTATTCCACTCCCTTTTCAAAACATCACTTTTCAAGATTTATTTTTAAAATATGTGTGTATATTTGTGTGTGCTGGGTAGAGGCTTGTGCATGTGTGAACATGGTGCCAGTAGGGTTCAAAGAAGTTTGCTGGATCCAATAGAATTGAAATTGCAAACAGTTGTAGAACCCTCCCCAGCTCTGTCCAATCCCCAGTCCCTACCCTGGCCACGTGGGTGCTGGTAGCTGAACTCAGGTCTTCTATAAGAAGAGTATGTTCTTTATTCTTAAACCCCTGAGCCATCTCTTCAGCCTTCAGAACACCGTTTGATGTTAAATTGGATACTGAAGTTAACAATAAAAGAACTTTTCTGTCACTGAGACATATTAATGGTGTATATGTGGCTGCTGTTTATTCTTAGGCCCATTTTTTCCAGCTCTGGGAACACAGCAGTGAATAAGGCCATGAATAAGCTGGACTTTTTGAGTATTAACTTCTTCCACTTGAACACACAGGTAACTAACAACTAATGATAGTAAGTCCAAGTTCACAGTTATTTAATGACTATACATGCAATAAAGGCTTAAGAACCCTGGTTCTCAACCAAGTTCACAGTTATTTAATGACTATACATGCAGTAAAGGCTTTAGAACCCTGGTTCTCAACCTGTGGGTTGCAACTCCTTTGGGTTTACATATGGTGTCCTGCATATCAGATGTTTGTAACAGTAGAAAAATTATAGTTAGGAGGTAGCAACGAAATAATTCTATGGTTGGGAGTCACTACAACACGAGGAACTGGATTAAAGGGTCACAGCATCTGGAAGACTGAGAACCGCTGCTTTAGAACACAGTCCTGTGCCGAGTTTACTGGGAGTCAGTGTTGGCTTATATGCAGTTAACTTACTCTCTGTGACGTTAAGACAGAACAGGAATTTGTCTCTTGGAATCAGACTCAAAGGAAGGGCTGGAATTGGTACTAGAGATTAATTATGGTTTAGAGAGGGTGAGGCAGTAGGGTGGAAGGAAGGGCTAAAATTGGTACTAGAGAGTAATAAAATGCTTTAGGGAGGCTGAGCTGGAAGAGTGAGAACTTGAGGTCAGCGTGGGGATACATGACAAAACAATAGCAACCAAGTCAGTGGTAGTAATATGTTTTCAGGGACAAGCCAAATGAGTTGGTTAAATGACCTTGGACCTTCTGACCTACTCTAAGGTCAGCGTGTAAAAGATTTAAGAAGATGAAATCTTCCTTCCTTCTTTTTTTTTTTTTCCTGGTTTTTCAAGACAGGGATTCTCTGTGTAGCTATGACCCTGGAACTCACTCTGTAGACCAGGTTGGCCTCAAACTCAGAGATCCACTTGCTTCTGCCTCCTGAGTGCTGGGATTAATGGCATTTAAAGGCATTTACCATGACTGCCTGCTAAAATGTCTCTTAAAAAAAAACACTAAAAATTACTATTATTATTTGTGTGTGTGTTGTGTGTTATGTGTTGTATGTTGTGCTTGGGTGTATGTGTGTGGGCATATGAAGATTAGAGAATAGCTTGGTGGAGACAAGTTTCATTCTACCTTTACATGTGTTCTAGGAATTGAGCTCAGGTCGCCATGTTTGTGTGGCAAGTACCTTTATCTGGTAAACTTCTAGCTGCCCTGAGTTTCTTTTTAATTGTGGTAAAATAGAACATCCTACCCTTTTTTGTTTTTGTTTTTGTTTTTTTTTGGGGGGGGGTAGGAGGGAAGGCAGAATCTCACTGTATAGGCCAGGCTAGCCTCAAACTCACAACAATCCTCCTATCTCAGTTTCTGGAGTAGCAAGTACTGGGATTCCAGGCATGCACCACCATGCCCAGCCATCTTAACTATTTTGAGGCATACAGTTCAGAAATGTTAAGAACATTGTAGTAGCTGTTCTCCAGAACTCATTTAATCTTGTAAAAACTCATATTTTTAATTCTTTGAAAAGTCCCAGAGGCAGGCTGTTTTAAGAGTAACAGAAAGGAAATCAGTGTGACAGGCTGTCAGCTTTTATTGAATAAGAAGGGAGACTGAGACAAGCCCTCAGGCACTCGTACTTTCCCTTAAGATTTGACTTGATGGATGGGGAATTTAAGTTAGCATGCTATTTCTGCAAGTTTTACCAATAGGCTTTTGCCAAAAAATAGAAGAACCAAACCTCGGGCTAATAACGTGTATATTGGGCAGCTAACTGAAAACTTCTTGCTTTGAAGATTTGTATCAGTTTGAAAATTCATTGGCTTCATTTTGATAACATTATGCTTAGGAATTGAGTTTTAGACGGCATCTGCAAAAAGATCTTGCTGCATATGATCCTGGAGTTTGAGAAATTCCTCTTTGCTTAGGAAAAGGAAGTAGAGCACTCTGCTTTTTATATTCTTTTTACTCAGTTCCATGTAATATTTTCCTGACTGTTATATGACTAATTTCCTTTGTTGAAGAGAAAATCAACACCAAATAATCAAAGCTGCTATGTGTGCTAGCAAATGGAACAATGTCAAACAGTCCTGTGCAGCATGCATTTTGAGATTGTTTTATAAAGAAGTTTTTTTTTTTTTTTTTTCTTTTTAAGTATTAGATCCTGTTGAAGAAGCTAATTTAAGAAGTATAAGATAAATGTGTTTGAACTCAGGTCCCCTCAGGGGAGCATGACTGACCAATAAAAGTTTCTAAAGGAACTTAAGAGAAAATAGTCTGTGTGTTTCATTTTTAGATTTATGGGTCTTTTAAAAAATGATTTATTTCTTGTTTTGTTTGTGTTTATGTGTGTCTATTTGACTATATGTTCAGATATGAGTTCAGGTGCCTATGAAGGCTGGGAGAGGGTGTCACATCCCTTTGAGCTGGAGTTACAAGTTGTAAACTTCTTGATGTGAATGCTGGAACCACATTCTGCCCCTCTTGTTTGAATTGAGACCATGCTAAGCCACAGCGCCATCTCTCAAGCTCCCTTACTAGGGTCTTTTGTGTAAAGCTGTTGTCAAGTTCATGTAGGCGAAGAGCCGGCCTGCCCAAATGCAGCATTGTATACTAGGTAATGTGTGGTGAGGAAGAATTGCTACCCCAGAACTCGTGGCCATCCTCTAATGCTGGGCTGATGATACAGGCCAAAATTCCAGCACCCAGGACACGAAAGCAGAAGGATGTGAGTCTGAGGACAACCTGGTCTCATCATGATACCCTTGCTCAGAGAAATGAAACATACAAACACATAGTGCTAGCTGGTAAGGGATGAGAAAGACTTAGTCAGTCACCCATGGGAAATGAGATACAAATGTACAGATTGTATCTTCAGATACTCTCCATTTGCTTGATCTGGAGCCAGGCCTGGACATGTGATAAAATAAAGCTCTATGAAGAAATATGAAATTCCCAATTGATCTTTGGACAGAGAAATACCAGCCTCGTTATGAACCCTAATTAATACTAGTGAATTTACTTTCAGGTTTTTTTGTTTGTTTGTTTTGTTTTGCTTTTTAGGGTAGAAAATGTCTGCTTTCCACATTCATTTTTCAGAATGTTTTGGGGGTTTTATTAGGTAGATACTCTTTATAGCAGATGTTATGTTGTATCACAGAATAGTGCTGCTTATTTACATGAGAAACTTGGTGAGTTGCATATTGTAGGAAGCTCTTACTACCCCGTGGATAAGCTGAAGACACCGTGTAGAGCCACTAAATAAAAGCCAGTGATTTAACTGATGTCAAAGATAGAGGAAAATTAGCAGTGGATTAACTAAGAAATGTGCAGTACATACAAAGCTGTGTTACACTAGGACTTGACAATTTCAGGAATTTTCAAGAGTAATAAGAATTACTGTTGACTGTATAAGATAATGTAATCTGCCTAATAAAATGAAAGGTCATATTGTTAAAAAATGTTATTCAACAAGCATGATGTTGCATGCTTTTAGTCTTAGAAAGGCAGGAGTACCAGCCTGAAATACCTAGTAGGTACCAAGCCAGCCAGGGCTGCATAGCAAGACCGTGTCACAGAAAATTAAAAAAAAAAAAAAAAAAAAAAAAAAACAGTAAAATGTTATGTATTTTTTGTAATATCCTCTTGTGCTTGTCTACTTCATCATCTAAATATTACATTTTCCTTTCTAGAGCTTAAGAAGCCACCATTGGCTCCCAAGCCAAAGTTAGTGGGGACCAATAACAAACCAACTCCTCCTCCTATTGCACCTAAACCAGACGTTGTAAATGCTAGTGTTCCACGGTTAACAAAGAAAACTAAACCAGCAATTGCACCGAAACCAAAAGTTCTGACAAACTCTGTTGTTCAAGACATCAAGCAGTCACTGTCAAAGAACCCCACACTGGAGGAACGGGAGCCAGCACCACCCAAAAGCACTGACAAGTTTAATTGCAAAGATGTCGGCAATCCACACAGTGATTATATTTTACCAACGTGTTCATGCAGTTCTGTGTATATTCATGAGCCTGGGAATAGAGAAAGTCTGTGTGCAAAGCAGCTTGTTTTAGAGCCTCTGGGAATGAAAGAAAACTTAGAGAATAGTAAAAATGGTGAGTCCTCCTTAACTGCAAAGAGGGGGATTAGATGGGATTCTGGTGGTGAAAAGTGCTGGAGCCAGAGTGGAGTTGTCATAAAGGCAAACATCTTAGAGGAGAAACTCAAAGAGGTTCTCACACAGCCGCAATCACCTTGTAGCTCCCCAAGGAAGCACAGATCCCCAAACAACCCAGAAATGAATGGTGACTATAGTTGCAGCAGACAGATCAGGATTGAATTTGCAGATCTGTCCCCTTCCCCATCCAGCTTTGAAAAAGTTTCTGCTCACGACAGCTGCCACCCACAACTTCCTAGGGATGAAACTGAAAATTTTGAGACTAGTCAAGGTGGCAGTGTGGACAGTCACAGTCACCTTCACTCGTGTGCACTGGATGACAAAAGGATATCTTCAGATGGGACCAGTAGTAAGAAGACAGAGGTCAATGATCTTGGTCCTGTAGAAATCCACTTATTACCTTATACCTCAAAGTTTCCAACTCCCAAGCCCAGAAGGACACATGCCGCTCGCCTGCGGCGCCAAAAATATGTAGAGACTCCTAGTGAAAGTACAGAAGAGCCAGAGAATTCACACAATGGCTCTTCTTGTCTCCTTGAAGATAGTTTGAAAAACAATAAAGACAGTGTTCTTCATCAGAATGCTTTGTTTAGTCAGGGACAAGTGGACAAAGTGAAGCTAGCAAATAAAAGGGCATTGACCACTGATTCCAATGGCGACAGACAAGACTCAGCCAACTCTCAGAGAGCTGTGGCTCATGAAACAACTTCTTTTGAGAAAGTGGCACCTTCTTTAGACACAGACTCTGTGTTGAGTTCTGACAGCACGACGGAAGATGGTTCTAGTACGTTACCTGCTGCAGACAGCGAGCCTGCTTTTTTACAATGCAGTACTCAGTCTTTGAGCTTGCCTAAGCAAGTCAAATTAGCCTGCACTGAACATCCGCCAACTACCTGTAACACGGAATTGTCAGTTTCTCAGATACAAAAGGAATCTTCCTCTAAAATTGTTCCCCCAAAGCCACAGAGACACAGCCTGCCTGCTGCAGGAGTGCTTAAAAAGGCTGCTTCGGAGGAACTTGTAGAAAAAAACTCGTACTCTTCAAATAAAGAAACAAATTCAGAGAAAGGTCTGCAAAAGAAACACCTTCAACACTTGGGTCCCTCAAACCATGGGTTATCACCATCCTCCTCTGATATGCCCAACCTTACTTCTGAAAAGCCAGTGTGGAAGTTACCTCATCCTATTTTGCCTTTCTCAGGGAGCCCAGAAGCCTTGAGGCTTGTCACTTTATCCTTAAATAATGAGCCTTCTATTTCCCTTACCAAGCCAAGAGCAAAATCACTGTCTGCTGTGGAGACAGACCGGTGCAATAAACCATGCAAGGAACCTCCAAAGAAAATTTCTCTTAAAAAGTTGATGAATGTGAAACTTTCCATTGGTTTTATAAAGAGTGACTTCCAGAAATTTAGGTCGAAAAGCTGCCAACATGGGGATGTCACGACAGGACATATGCTCAATAGAGAGCTGAAAGGGCAGGAAAGTGATTGGCAAGGTTCAGTGACAGGAGACGAAAAGAGACGTAAACCCGCCAAGGCATATTCTGCAGAAAACTGCAGCCTGGTATCTCAAAAGGTGAAATCTTGGGGCCAGACCAGTGCCGGTAATGGTCAAAGAGCTGAGTCTTTGGATGACCAGATGCTCTCCAGGGACTCCTCCTGTCCTGTGTCTTACAAGTCTACTACAAGTGACTGCATGCCAGAGTATGAAAATGTCCGCCATTATGAGGAAATTCCAGAGTATGAGAATTTGCCCTTTGTCATGGCTGGAAGGAAAGCTCCAGAGGTGGGATGGCAGAACTCCAGCAGCATGGAGGACACTGATGCAAATCTGTATGAAGTACAAGAGCCTTATGATGTTCCAGATGGCCAGCTGCAACTTGATCCTAGACATCAGCCTCCCAGGTAATATGTAGGTGTCAGCTAGACCTGCACTTTTGCATGCATCGTTGTAATTAGCCCTGCAGAGCTCTGTGATACAGGACTTGGGGAAAATCAACAATTGAGGAACTGATTGAAAACATGTAGATGAAAGCAGTTCTGTGTCATATAGTAGGAAGGAGTATATTGCAAGCTTGTAATACTTTAGTAGTCAGTCAAAGACTTTAAATAGTAGCATTATAACTACTAGAAGGATGACCTAGACAAGGTCCCAGCCTCCCCCCATACCACCATGCAGCAGCATAGAACCCTAGGCAGGACATTGGTTAATTCAGTGACATTTGTGAAATTATGAAATCCATGAATTTACATATGGTGCCACTGTTGGAATACTCTAGATCTACAGAGCTTGCCACTCTGTAAGCATTATTTTACTTGCTGAGCTCTGGTAATAACAGGGAAATTCAGAATAGTGTTGTCTTCCTTCTTTTGTGTATGTAACTATCTATTCCACCTCTCTATTGAGATTTTACTCATCTTCAGTGGCTCAGCTTATCAGTCCCTGGCTTCATGGAGCTTCCAAGGCTACCTAGTAGGAAGTGTTTACATCCTACTCTGAACTCCCTATTATCCAGTGCTGTCCTTGCATTTTGTAGCTGAGTCTGACTTATGGCATATGGTTTATTGATGCATCTGATGTTCTGTGTTTATTTTTCTTTTAAAGTATTTGCTAACCTTTGACAATTTCATTCATGTACATTTTGTGTTTTGTCATTTTTTACTCCGCTACTCTCCCTCATCTCTTCCCCACTTGCACTGACTCTTTTTTTCTTCCAAGTAAGTTAACTCCTCCCTTATTTTCATGTCCTTTTGGCTTGTGGGGACTTTGTGGCTACACTACTGAAGAAAATGGCATTCAGTTTTAAGTGTCTTAAAGAGTTCTGGTTCTATCTTTTTATTCTACATAAGGCCAGACAAGGAGCATAGTAGGTACGGAATGGACACAGGAGAGAAGGAATGAAAAGGAGGCAAAGGAAATAAATCCTCCTCCTTTCTCTCTCTCTGTTGTTGTAGAGGCAGCATTTGCAGTGTTTCTTTAGTGTTTTAAAGTCTTTAGGTTATCCGAATACTCAAGTCTTAAAATGTGACTTGTAGAAATACTAACATAACTAGCACATACTGGAACTTTAAGCGGGGATTGGGGGGAGGATGGTATGAATTAGTAGTGAGTTAAATAAATAACATTGTCAAGGAAGTTAGAACATCAAGTAAAGCAGATTGTTTTGAGTTATGTTAATTTTCAGATACTCTCATGGTGTTTTTTTTTTTTTTAAATCATAATCTTTACTTTTCCTCTTTTTACTTGTGAAAGGTTCTTTTAATCCCTTTGCCTATTTTTTCTTGCAGCTGACCCCAGTTTGTTTATATGTCTTCTAAATGTTAATAGGTAGGCAAAGACCTCTTCCTTAGTGTAAATATTTTGACAGACCTGCCATCTAACTATTTGAAGAATTTATCTGTTTTTATATGTGTGATACTCTACCCATGAAGCTACTTTATTGGTATTTTAACATGCTTGTGTTAAATGTATTATTTATGCATGTGTGTGTACTGGCATATATGTGATGAGTTTGTTTATTCAGATACACTGTTATCCTCAGCTATTTTTTCTTGAGATAGGAGGCTTGACCTTGGGGTTTGTTCCTTTCTGGCTCTCAGATTTCAGTCCCAAGGGTTTAACCACTATCGCTGATATGGGTGGGTTCTTCACTTCTAGAACTTGTTTGTCTGATCTGCTGCTGGCTTGAAGGGAAGCAGGTTTGGAGACGCTAATGTAGATGGCCAGCCAGTGTGGCTGGTCAGGCATTCCTAAGGAGGGCTCTCTCTGGAGACCACAGGAAACTAACAATGGCACATTGGACAGGTTGCGAACTGTTAAGGACAGCCAGGTGAAGGATGGGCAGCTTTTGCTTTTGAAGTTTGAATTCCACACAGAGTTTTGTTTAAGTCATGAACAGGGAGTCCTCAATGGGCTTTGAGAGACCTAAAATGTGCCAGCTGAATCCAGAGCTATCAGCCATAGAGTCAGCCTCAAGCCTTAGAGTTTGTTCCTCTTGTAGTTGACTAGTCAAAGAAGGCAAAATGCAAGCCTTTCATGAGGAAGACTGTGGTAAAATGAAATGAGGTAAATGAGAGGCTGAGAGCTGAGAATATTCAAGTGGAAATCCTGAAGCTAGGTCTGTTTGCTGAAAATGTAGACCTGTGCCTTAGAATAATTCATTCAAAATGCAGGATCCCAGCTGGGCATGCAGTTTAGCAGTCTAGTACTTACTTGCCTAGCATGGTCAGATTTTCTTTGAGAGTCATCAAGAAAGTGTTCAACAGTATCTCAGCCCTCAGAGAAGGGAATCCTGTTCTTCTCTGAGGCTCTGGGTTAGAGTGTCACTCACTAGCTTTGGAGTCTGGATATTTAAACAACCTTCTGTTTGGCTGACTCAGAGGTATCCTAGTGGTCCCTTCTTTAAAACATAGATGTTTCATAAATCTGAACATTTACAAGTCTATAATCTATTTGTCATTTATCAGGAAATATTAAATAATAAACTGTGCCAAATTCTGATTAGGCTGTAGTCTAAAATTCACAATAATTCTAACTCATTGTTTTTCCCAAAGAATAGTGTTGGGAATAGAGGTAAAGGTTTTGTTTTGTTATTGTTGTTTGTTTTTGGTTTTTCCAGACAGGGTTTCTCTATGTAGCCCTGGCCATGCTGTAACTTACTCTAGACCATGCTGGTTTCCAACTCACAGAGATTGGCCTGCCTCTGCCTCCTAAGTGCTGGGACTAAAGGCATGTGCCACTACTACCCAGCTTTTCTTTGTGGTCCTATGAGAGGCAAGCTGTGATCAGGATTGGAGCATTAGCCTGGGTGGGATTTGAGTACCTGTTATCTCAGATGAATGGTTGGCTACTCAGCAGGGGTTGTGACCGATGAGGAATGAGGAAATTAGGGGGCCTGGCTGAAATTGCTGAGAGGGATATTGTTAAAGCACTGAGTGATAAGGAGGGAGGGGTGGAGTGGCTGTTTAGTAAGCAAAGGAGTTATTTACTTCCTTTTCTTTTATAATGTCTGTCCCTTCTCTTTTCCCTACCGGTCTCCTTTGTGAACTGAGCTTTTCTGAGCTCACAGGAGTGAGTGGTAGCTAGGGAGAAGGGAAGAGGGTAAAGAAAGGTACTGGGAAGCCCCAGGATGGGAAAGATGAACAAGGAGACAGATCTGGAGGTGAAGGAGAAAGGAAGAGGACTTCTGGGTTCAGAAATGTAAGCCTATTGTGTCACCGTTTGCCCACTGCTTTTGTGTCTTAAAAGTAATTTCTTTGGAAGTAGGATGTGAGTCACTCTGGAATGTCCTAGTGTTTGGGGCAGTTGTATTTATTTATTTATTTATTTATTTATTTATTTAGAGGCAGGGTTTTAGTGCAGGATAGCTTAGAAGTCTGTATAGTACAGGCTGGCTCCAAACTTGCACCCCTCCCGCCAAAGCATCTCCCTGGGGTGCTAGGATTATAACTGAGTCAACATTCAGGGCCAGAGTAAAACCTCTTCCCCAAAGTTTCTAAGATATCATAACCCTGAAAGAATTAGCATGTAATATACATCTCTGTTTCACTGGGTACCAATGGTAAATTTTCAGCTACTGCTTTTATCCAGGAAGCTTGATTTCATGTGAAAGGTTATAAAATTTATGTCATTGATGTAATTCAACTGAAGAACATGCAACAAAACAATAGCATTCAAATACTGAAATTTCTCTTTGAAATTAAAGCAGATTTTTCTGATTCTGGAAAAGAAAAAAAAGAAAAGAAAATTTTACATGGAAACTTTTCAGATTTTTCTTGTGGCATTTTGGTTTGTCCTCATAGACACTTAAAACATGTTGGCAATTGGATTTTTGTAACTAATCTAGTAATTCCTCCAACTAATTTTTCCCCCATGGATATTAAGCATTTGTGTATTTAAAGTTGAGTGTTTACTGGCGAGGAACTTCCCCCAGTGAGGCAATAGGTAATTACGGCACATGATATTTTTGTTGAAAGTTGTGCTGCTTGACTGGATGTTGAAGACTACTGTGGGCTGGGGTGTAGCTCAGTGATGCAATGCTTGCCTTGTGTGCCTGAGGTCCTAGATATAGTCCTTCGGGCAACAAAAGCAAATAGACAGCCTTACAGATCCTTACATGGTGACACTCGAGCCAACAGGATCAGACTTGGCTTTTGGGAGCTGATGAGTTCTGTTTTTATAACTGTAGAAAGTGCATGTTATCAGTACTCTGGAGGGAGGAGGCTAGGGGCAGCCTGAGATAGAAGTAGGATTAGGAATATGAATTGTTCCTTGAAACCGCCCAGAAGTCCTAGTCTCAACCAGTTTGCATTTATCTTTTAGTCTTCCAGAAACAGAATTAAAAAGAAAGCAACTAGACTTCAGAATAATCTTTTTCATTAATGTGCATGACTGTATTCCTGATGAAGACTAAATGCTATTTTTGGTTGGTTGTTTTCTTTCCATGTTAAACATAGGACTGGGCTTAATACACTGCCCAGTAGCTTTACAGGGCTTCTGTACTGTAACTTGGCAGTCCTGGTAGACATCCGATTGTGTTTACCATCTGGTGGTATTGTTGAATTTTAATGATGTGATTAAACAATAAAAGAGCAAGCGACAAATTAATTGTATAACAGGCAGTTTCTATGTTGTCATACCACAGGTGAGATCATACCCAACTAGAAGGTGAGGGTGGGGCATGTAATATCAGCAGTGGCCCTTTCCTGTGAGTTATTTTTAGATTCAGGAAATATAAAAATTTGTATGCCTCTCTAACTCTGTGCTTCATAGTCACATGGTTTTGGCAAATCTGCTTGTTTACATTCTTACCCTATATTTGACACTGTGGCTAGAAGAATTAGATTTCATTTCTTCCTGGGAAAGCTGCTCCAGGGGATTGTTTCCCCTCTCTGGATTTGGCGGC